AACGTTATATCTCCCCGCGGAGCTATTACCCATCATACCGCCTGGAGTTATGTCGTTTTGGAACGTCATATCTCCGCGCGGAGCTATGTCGTTTTGGAACGTCATATCTCCGCGCGGAGCTATGTCGTTTTGGAACGTCATATCTCCGCGCGGAGTTATGTCGTTTTGGAACGTCATATCTCCGCGTGGAGTTATGTCGTTTTGAAACGTCATATCTCCCCGCGGAGATATTATCCATCATACCGCGCGGAGCTATGTCGTTTTGGAACGTCATATCTCCGCGCGGAGTTACATCGTTTTGGAAGGTCATATCTGCGCGCGGAGTTATGTCGTTTTGGTACGTCATATCTCCGCGCGGAGTTATGTCGTTTTGGAACGTCATATCTCCGCGCGGAGTTATGTCGTTTTGGAACGTCATATCTCCGCGCGGAGTTATGTCGTTTTGGAACGTCATATCTCCGCGCGGAGTTATATCGTATTGGAAGGTCATATCTCCGCGCGGAGCTAGTACCCATCATGCCGCCTGGAGCTATGTCGTTTTGGAACGTCATATCTCCCCGCGGAGCTAGTACCCATCATACCGCCTGGAGTTAAGTCGTTTTGGAAGGTCATATCTCCGCGAGGAGTTATGTCGTTTTGGAACGTCATATCTCCGCGCAGAGTTTTGTCGTTTTGGAACGTCATATCTCTGCGCGGAGTTATTTCGTTTTGGAACGTCATATCTCCGCGCGGAGTTACATCGTTTTGGAAGGTCATATCTGCGCGCGGAGTTATGTTGTTTTGGTACGTCATATCTCCGCGCGGAGTTATGTCGTTTTGGAACGTCATATCTCCGCGCGTAGTTATGTCGTTTTGGAACGTCATATCTCCGCGAGGAGTTATGTCGTTTTCGAAGGTCATATCTCCGCGAGGAGTTATGTCGTTTTGGAACGTCATATCTCCGCGCGGAGTTATGTCGGTTTGGAACGTCATATCTCCGCGCGGAGTTATGTTGTTTTGGAACGTCATATCTCCGCGCGGAGTTACATCGTTTTGGAAGGTCATATCTGCGCGCGGAGTTATGTCGTTTTGGTACGTCGTATCTCCGCGCGGAGTTATGTCGTTTTGGAACGTCATATCTCCGCGCGTAGTTATGTCGTTTTGGAACGTCATATCTCCGCGCGGAGTTATGTCGTTTTCGAAGGTCATATCTCCGCGAGGAGTTATGTCGTTTTGGAACGTCATATCTCCGCGCGGAGTTATGTCGTTTTGGAACGTCATATCTCCGCGCGGAGTTTTGTCGTTTTGGAACGTCATATCTGCGCGCGGAGTTATGTCGTTTTGGAACGTCATATCTCCGCGCGTAGTTATGTCGTTTTGGTACGTCATATCTCCGCGCGGAGTTATGTCGTTTTGGAAGGTCATATCTCCGCACGGAGTTATGTCGTTTTGGAAGGTCATATCTCCGCGCGGAGTTATGTCGTTTTGGAACATCATATCTCCGCGCGGAGTTATGTCGTTTTGGAACGCCATATCTCCGCGCGGAGTTATGTTGTTTTGGAACGTCATATCTCCGCGCGGAGCTATTACCCGAGATATTAAAAAAAAAATCATCGAAAAAGTTTCTATTTTCGCACCGACCCCGATTATTGGACACTCGGACAGCTAAATATTTTGACAGGGCAACAATTAAATCAAATATTCTCCCAAACTATATATATGCCAGAAGCACCTGCTGCCAGTGCTGCATCCACAAATAAGCTGATAATATAACCCACACAACTTAATCTGCCGTTAGTTAGTTTGAGGTCAATCCTGGCCATTTGGACAGCCGGCCAAAAGTTTTCTTTTCAAATGCAACAACAATAAATTGTCTAGAGTGTAAATTGATTGACGACACACTTGGGTCGACATTACACGAGCTCAGTTAATAGTTAATTAGCTTACTTAAATCCAAAACTACAATACACTTTTCGGCAAAAGTGTACGACTTCTAGATACCCTACACGCTTGTATATATATGCTAATATTGGCTAAAATACATGATTATTTATTAGCTATCAAATCCATATGTAGTATTCTTAGCTTCTTGTCTTTTATTAACCTTATTGGATCAAAGATATTCAGGCATTATTTATTGGGAGCTAAACTATTCTTCCAAAATATTTTGTGACATATTTATATGTAAAATAACGAAAGCACACAGACTCTCAGTTAAGATTATTTTATGGTATAAACTAAACTGAACGGAAGTGATTTTGACGAGATTGAAGCTCGGCAAAAATCGCATACATTTACACCCACACACATTTTATTTATTTATTTATTTAATTATTAATGGTCGACAAAACGAGTGTCTTCCTCATTATTCAAAAGATTATACAATAGAATTATATGCTAACAGCCTAGTTAAAGGATACAATTTTCTAAATAGCATCACCGACCGATGGAGGTGTTTTATTTGCCAGTCCGGCCAGCTGTGCCCCTTTTCACAGCTAATTTTGTCAGTGACGCTATTGGAGCCTACATCTAAGCAGAAGGTTGTAAGTAGGAAAAAAGTGATCTCAGGTAAAATTAAAAATAATCTTAATTTGCTGTATTAATAAAGAAAATACAATAAATAGGAAAAAAGAAAGTAAGAAAATTGTTAATAAAGTAAAGCAATGTAAGTTAGATAAAGAGTGTTAAGTGGATAGGACAAAGAGAAAAGTAATGGGAAATCACCGACACGGTGGGGGAAAATCTTTCAGCCTGTCCGGCTAGCTATGCCCCTGCTCATAGCTGGGAATGGTCAGCGACTTCCCGAAGGTATCCTGAAAGCATATAATATTCTTTATCTTCAAAAGCTGCTTCAACAATTGCTTTCAGGTGCGAATAGTTTGACTTCAATCATACAAAATATAACAAACATTTTAAGGAAATTTAAAATTTGTAACATAATGGCAAGCAAATTATGGGATCTTGTTAAGATATGACTTATTTACAAGCAGCTAAGTTAACTAGTATATGATGAGCTTCGTCCAGATATTATGATAAACAAAAAGGTTTTCACGCAACCTAATTATCGACTGATCATGCATTTTGCAGTCGCATTTGGAGAGAACGAAACGATTTCGACATATTTAACTGTAACAGAAAGACAAAACTACCCAAATTTGAAGACGATGGACTTAGCACTGAAAGACAATATTGTGGACTTGAGCAGATATTTTCCAAGATATATTCAAGAAACTCAGCATTTAAGAGCTTCACATCTGGCGCTCCCAAGTAATTTCCGGATGCCTAACTGGGCACAAGAACATGTCCAGAGTCCTGCAAAATAGACGAGGGAACTCTTAAGGTGCTACCCAAACCAAAACAAAGAGAAATTACATTTTTTTTACATATTTTGCTTTCCATTTATTAATTTGTTATTGTAAATCGATTGGCCAAGGCACGCGTAGTGTTATATTCATCTTCTTTCCTTTCAGTAAAAACAAACTCGGGCCAATAAGAAAAAAAATAGGTGAACAAATCGCATTTTACCAACGAGCTTACAACAAACAAAAAATGTTTTATGTACCTTTGCTTAGACATGAAAATTACACTAAATTATTGTTAGCGAATTATAAACTAAAAAACATCTTAGCGCTAAAAATGTATTGCATATATAAAACTATTAATTAATTTTCTTTTACACGTTACATTTAATCTGTATATAGATATTGATTTTTGTTGTTGTTTCTCCTTTCATTTCTTATAGAAGTTCTGTTGAATATTATAAAAAAAAAAAACAATTTCATTTGGCATTCAACAAGTTCGTCTAACATTGCTATATATGCAGCTAGTTTTAATAATATTTAAATATATCAATATATATATATATATATAAAATTTATGTATAGAATATGCATAGAGTCTACACGATAGATACATTATAGTTTGTTCTTTTATATTATATTTTATGGGGGAAGAGGGGGGGGGGGGGGGGGCGAGGGGGTGCGCTTAATACATTCAAAGATTGTAGAATGAGCAGTGATACAAAGTGATAGATAGTTGAGTTTAGAGCGCGCCCGCGGGCATATTATTTAAGAGTAGAGTTGTATAGATTAGGCTTATAAGACCCGCTTATATCGCTAACTTGTTGCGATGCTGTGCTCTGGATCGGTTCTCGATGGATCCACGCACAAAATAATTTGTTGTCAAGCTAAAGTTTCAAAGTTACCGTCAATGGCAACAACTTTCCAGCCTGCTGAAATAGTTGCCATCGACTGAACGCTGTAAATTGGTCCAGGCTTAGTTAAATTCGCTTCTCCTATGAGTTCTTTCTAGTATAGTTCTTTTCCTCAAGGCATATGTCATATACATATATATATGGGTGTGTGTGTGTGTGTGTGTAAGTGTGTGTGTGTAAGTATGTATAGCTTTTGAGCACCAGGAAATTGGTTCAATTGGTTGTCCAAGTCTATATAATTTTAACATGTATTCATGGTATATATTAATATTCATTTCATTGACACTCAACGTTAATCAACATAAATATCGTACATAACTATTTGTTTTATATGCATATGTATATATATATTTATATATGTATTTGTATGTATGTATATATGTGTGTGTGTATGTGTGTATATACGTACGAGTACGTGTTGTAGTGTACAAGATCTTTAGTTTACAAAAAATCAAAAGTTATGACTCATTTCATTTAAATTTATTCAGTTCCTGCATTCAAGCATATATATGCATATACATATATGTTTGTATGTATGTGTAGTCCCTTTTCTAATCAACCGTATATCATTTGTTATAAATATGTATGCTATATCTGCATATAGTTCGTCTTGCTGATATGTTTTAATATTAAAAAAAAAAAACATACAAAATGCCAGAAATTTAAAACATAATTTGCTCAGTGCCTTAACATTTTTTTTGCTTCTCATTTTTGGCAACAAATTCAACTAAAACACTAAATGAATATTTTGTTATAAGAAACTGCTTAGACTTAACAGCGCTGCTGTTAATACGCTGTTAGCACACGGCTGTTAAGCTGTGTTTTTGGATGGATATGTGTGTGTGTCTATATGTGTGTATGTGTGTGTGCGCGGTCTCTTTGCACGTGTTTTGTGACTATTTGACTAACAACGAAAATGTTTGATTGCTTGATTGACGGCATCTCAGACAAAGACCGGCGCCTGGTCGTCCGTCATGTCCGACTGCTGTCGGTCATCGAAAAATCGCCTAAAGGTAAATTCGAAAAATCCATGGAATTGCCTATCATTCAGATCGATATCGTCACCGCTACTCAAATTGGAATCATTCGAGCGCAGCTTGTCGGGATCGACGGGATCAAAATTGGACGTGTCTGTGGGATGCTTTATTTCCGGTATATAGGGCGCCTTCTGCTTGCGCATATCCGCAAAATCGATGCCCTTGAAGAACTCGTGTGCCTTGACCTCATCCACGCTCTTGCCCAGCCGTTTGTCCGCGGAGGCGCACAGACGCCGTATTAGATCCGTGGCCTCGCGTGTTAGTTGCGCCTGCGGCGGTATATGCAACGTCTTCTCCCAGTTTATGACCTGGAATTAATTGATTGTGAACCCAAGGATCGCAAAGAGTATATAAGGTACACGCACCTTTTGCTGCGTCTCCATGGGGCTGTTGGCCAGAAACGGTGGCTGACCCACCAGCATCTCGTAGAGTATGACACCCACGCTCCAGTAATCGCACAGCTGAGTGTAGCCGCTGCGTTCCAGCACCTCAGGCGCTATATAGTTGGGTGTGCCGACTAGCGAGTGTGCCAGGACTCTTTGATGATCGCGCATGCGTCGCCTGTTCAAACGAGTTAAAGGAGGATTTACATTTACAAATGGTTATCAAGCAGCTGATGTGGATGCACCCACCTCTCCAGCACTGTGGGCTTGGTGCCGTTCTCCGAAAAGTCTTCCCAAGGCTCCATGGAGTCCTGTCGCGAATGATTGCCTAAAAATAGAGACTAGTGAGCATCTTAGAGATTATCATACAAAACGGGGCCACATACCATTCTCCTGGTAGTATTTGGAGTTGTGCGTCCATCTAAATCCCGTACATAGACCAAAATCGGTGAGTTTTATGTGCCCGTCCCGGTCGATGAGTATGTTGTCAGGCTTGATGTCCCTGCAAACACAACAATTTATTATCAAATTTTTATGACATTTAATGCAATTTAATTCACGATTTATTACAATTGTTTATGCAACGCATTTCCCTAATTTTTAATTTTATTATTTCTTTTTCGGCTTTCTTCTTTCCTCTTAATTCTCTGCTGATCTCTTGCAGTTTCTTTTCCCCAAGAATTCTGTTCCTCTTCTGCTATACTGCTGTTAAGCCTCTGCTACTATAAATTAGGTACTGCTGTTAATGCTCTGCTTCTGTTATTCATCTCCTGTCTTTTTCATTCGCTGCTGTTATTCCTCTGCTGCTGTTAATTATCTGCAGCTGTTATTCTTCCGTTGCTGTTAATTATCTACTGCTATTAATTAGCTGCTACTGTTAATTATCTGCTGTTTACTCTCCTCTGTTGATTAATTTGTTCCTTTAAATACCCAACAAAAACTAAATTTTCTCACTTGTGAGTACTCAAATTACCTGTGAATGAAGCCCATTTTATGCACACTGTCCACGGCGCATGTGACCTCGGCTATGTAGAAACGTGCCAACGGTTCCTCAAAGATGCCCAGCTTGATCAGCAGCGACATCAGATCGCCGCCTGGCAAAAAAGTGTAATCAGATTATTATAAAAGGATTTCCCATTTAATTAATTGGCATGCCAAGGAGCTTACCGGGTATGTAGTCCATAACGAAATATAAATTATCCTTATCCTGAAAACTATAATAGAGCTTGACAACCCAATTGTTGTCGGCCTCGGCCAGAATATCACGTTCGGCTTTCACATGAGCCACCTGGTTCCGCTTGAGGACATCCGCCTTGCGCAGCGTTTTCATAGCATACAAATGATCGGAGGTGTCGATTTTGCGGACCAGCGTCACCTCGCCAAAGGCGCCAACGCCAATTATCTTGATCTTGACGAACATGCTCTTGTCCATTTTGGCCCGCTTGAGGCGTATGTAGTTGCTCTCCTTCTGGCTGAGCATTTTGCGCATCTCGATTTGTGTCTCATCGGAGAGGCCCACCTTGAGCATTTCCTTTTCCAGCTGATTCTTGCGGAATGTGCGCTGGCGATAGGACTTGATCACATTCTCGATATGCTGCTCCATAAAGAATTTGAATGCCTGCGGCGAGTACTGGCGTATCCGGAACTCTTTGCGCTCCTCCTCCTTCTCCTTGGAGATCTTCTTCCGTTCAGGTATGGGCGAGGCGTGCTTGATCTTCTTGCAGGCGGCGGCTGCTGCGGCAGCAGCAGCAGCGGCGGCAGCAGTTGCTGTCGTCGTGGAGCCATTGCTGCCACTCGAGCTGTTGCCGTTGCCTCCTGCCCCACCGCCTCCTCCACTGCCGCCGTACTTGGCTGGCGGAATGGGCGGCGTTGTGGCCAAGTTGCTGTTGCTGATTTGTATGTTGTTGTTGTTGCTGTTGCCCGCTGGCTTCAGCTCAGGCGGCTGGTTGACACTGTTGTTGTTGTTGTTGCTGCTGCTGCCCAGCTCGGGCGTGGTCACGCGTGCACTTTGATAAGGCGGCGGCGGCGGCAGCTGACGATTCGCATTGCCATTGCTGCTGACAGGCAGCGGCTGTGAAAAAAGAAACGAATTCAACATGAGTTGCGGTTGCCCAAATTTTTTTGTACAGTGAAAACTCGCATGAGGAACAGCTCTGACCAGGCCACAATCTAAACAAATTGTCAAAAGCAACAATTGTGCGAAAATGGGCAAAAAGAAAACTTGAAAAAGTGGAAACTCTATTGTTTGTTATACCCTGAACTCATTAAAAATGGGTATAATAATCGATAAGTTACTTCGTTTCCAAGCAATCGATAAAAATCGATATCGATATCCCGTTTTTTGTGCAACTTTGGTAAATAAGAAGAACTAGAGTCACGAAACATGATATGTTGCTTCTAAAATAGAATATATATATGCATTTGATGTTGGAAGAAGAGGGTTCCCTAGTCGAGAGCTCCCTAGACTAGAACCTCTTACTTGTTATTTATTGATTACGATATCGGCTTTATCAGTGTTGATTCAAAATTCCTTTAAAAATTACATTTCCACCTAACGCAGTGAATTTATCTGTGTTCGTTCAGCAATTCTCAAATGTCATTTAAAGGAGATAGTTGGATAGTTAGATAGTTTAAGGGAATGTCAGACCCCACTTTCGAGATCCATTTATAATGAAAATTTAAATTCACTCGTACTATTATGAATCCTCATTTCCACCTAATGAAGTGGATTTATCTGTGCTCGCCAAGCAAGTCTTAAGTGTTGTGTAATGAAGATATTTGAACATGTGTTTCAAGCCAATCGGTTGGCAAACAAGAAAAACGTACTACAACCCCTTTCCATCAATTTCTCACGCTTGCGGGTGGAATGCTCGTCTCACAATAAGGTAACTGCAGCTGCAGCTAGTTAACCTTTGCGTTATGTACTGCGCATGAATCATCAATAAGTCAATCAGTCAGTTAATTTGCCTCGATAATCTTGCAAGCAAACATCTGCCTAGGCAGGCAAGAACTGGCAGCTGTTCGCTAAAGCGAGCTTTCACTGTAATTAGACGTACCTTTTGTTGCTGCTGCTGCTGTTGCGCCTGCAACTGTTGCTGTTGCTGCTGTTGCGCCTGCAACTGTTGCTGCTGTTGCTGTGCCTGCAGCGCACGCAGTGTCTGCAACTGTTGCTGCTGCTGCTGCTGCTGTTGTTGCTGCTGCTGCTGCTGCTGCTGCTGTTGTTGTTGTTGCTGCTGTTGCTGTTGGAGCTGCTGCTGTTGTGGCTGCGGCGTTGTGGCCGCCTTGGCCTGCATGCTCTTGGCATAGGAGGGCGGTTCCATGCAGACCGCTTTGCCCACCACAGCGCCATTCAGCGCGCTGGCCATTAGCGGCGGGGTTGTGGGCGTGGGCGGCTTCACTGCGCCAGCCACCACCACCGGGCTGGGCCCTAGGAGCGGCGAATGCTGCTGTGCGGCCGCTGCCGCTTGCTGTTGCTGCTGCACCACCGCCGGCGACTTTTGCGGATAGGAGGGCGGTGCGGCGAGCACATGCACGGGCGAATTGCTGGCGGAGGCGCTGACCGGCGACTGGGGCGCCACAGCTGTCTGGAGCACTGGCTTCTGCACCTGCGTGGACTTGACGCTCTGCATGATGATGGGCTGCTGGGTGCGCGCCTGGTAGGCACGTGGCTGCGGCCGGGCGACGCCCGCGGAGGCGGGCAGTATGCCGCTGGCATTGCTCACGGTTATCGGACTGGGCGAGCCCGCCGAGGTGGCCGAATAGATGCCGCTGCTGGGCGATTTGCGGTAATCGGATTGCTGCGATTGCGTCGGCGACTGGCGCGACTGCATGGAGGCCGTGTAGCTGGGCGGCGGCGGTGCTGCGTTCACCACCACCGTATTGATGAGATATGGCGGTGGTGGCTCAACGACGGCGCCGCTGCCCGCGCCCGGATACATGTTGAGCGCCTTCATCTGCTGCGTCAGCTGCTGCTGCGCCTTGATCCCGCTGCCATTTTGCGGTATGACTGGCGAGGTGCCGCGCGTCGTCGGGCAGCTGGGCGTTATTGCAGCCGGGCGATTCAGTGCGGGCGAACGCCGCTTGAACATCTGATTGGTGGGTGGCGGTGGGGGCGGCGTCGCTGAGCTGCCCACCCCGGTGGGATTGCGCGGCGGCGGCGCTGGCGGCGCCGCATCACTGAAGCTGCTGGGCGAGGGCGAGTACTGGCCGGTGCTGGCCCGGCCGCTGAGCTGCTGGTGGGTGTGCGAGTGCGGGCTGTCCGAACGGGAGCTGCCGGCGCCAGAGTCCAGCGCCGGACTGCAGCGCAGATAATGCGTCGGTGTCTCGCGCTCAATGCTGGGCTTGCGTATCAGCTTGGGCGGTATCAGAGCGTTGATCATCTTTGGCACGTGGCCGTTGGCCGTGGGCAGTGCAACGGCGACAGCGGCCGGCGATGGCGGCACGACCACATCCGGCGAGGGAGACGCCGATGCCGATGGTGGCTCCAGTGGCAGCTTTGCGTGGTGGTAATCGGGTGCATCGTTGCGGCCATTGGCGGCGGTATATCGCAGAGGTGTGTAATTCTGTATCGAGAAGCAAACAAAATCGATAAGTAAAGCTGACATGCATATCGATAACAGTAAAAACAATCGATCAGAAAGAATACCCAATAACGGTGTTTCATGCCTATTGCAAATTCGATAAGCTAAGTAAAATCGATAATATCAACCAGCAAAATTATCGATAAGTCTTAAGAAATCCTAAATAGCCAGATTGTTTAAGTTATAAGCTGATAACAATATAGTAATATATAGAAATATTGCGGTTTTTCTATAAATTTAGAATTCAAGTGTTTTACATTTCGTTGAGAGCCAAATATCACTCTTTAGTAGATACATATCTATATATATGTATTGCAACCCCCACTTACTACGCCACTGGCCGAGCAACATTCCTGCGCTGTGAGAAACTTTGTGTATGCATGTACATGTATAAATAGGAGTATGCGTGTGTGTGTGTGTTGGTAGCAGTTCGAAAACTAAACAAAAGGCGCGCATACAAAATAAAAACAAAAATGCGAACAGCGCCTAAAACAAAAGGCACAAGAGATGCGGTGGCCAAAGCAATGAAATCAAATTCTTGCCATCGTTCAGAAATTCCTAAAAGTCAGGAGCACACACACACACACACACACACACGCGCACAGAATCAGAGAGCAAACGAAACAGGCGCACAAGAGAGAGCGCGTGAAGCGATCAACAACAACAACAATGGCAGCAAAGCAATCGCCGGCTGACAGATTGCAGCAAACAGACAACAGGGCAGCCTTCAGTAAGAGTGTATGTGTGTGTGTGTGTGTGTGCACTTTGCTGCTGCTACCCGTTTTACGCATTCTTTTGATGCCAGTACATCATCTTGTTTCTTTTGTGTCTGATCCTCGCATTTTGACTTTGCGTGAGGGATGGCCATAAATATCGTGATGGCAACGTGACATATAATATGCGTATGTATGTCACGCACGATCACGAAATTTAGCGTCTGATCAAATGTTAAAAACGAACGCTGTTAATGTACATACATATGCATACAAACAGATAGACTAGAACAGCTGCTAAGAATAATATAAATTTGAATTTGTGGCAAGATGTTTAAGTGAATTCAAGACAAGACAAATTGAATATGAATCTATAGAAATACACTTGTTATTTTTAGACAACATTTACTACGCATCACTAGTAGATATATGTACACATCTATATACGTACTTTATCTGCTATCCGCCGTTTTAACCCTCAAGTGGGCGAACGTTTGATGTGCGGCCAGACTAATTAAAACCAAGGACGCGAAACCCAACAAAAGATACCCACTCGACAGACTGTGCGTCGCGACTGTGCGCTGTGTCGTCCGCCCTGATCCGATCCGTCTTACAAGCAAACCAATTGATGGCTAATTAGCCGAAAAGCCAATGGGCCCACTAAATCAGCTGAACCGTTAGAGCTCGTGTCACGACAAATTTTATTTCAAATTAAAATAAATTGGATTTGCGAGTAGGTGGTAAACACTTTCGCTAATCCATTTAAACGCCCAGGCAATGCAATTATTGACAATGGGCAATACGTAAACCCAGATACAAGGGGCGAACATTTCGGACATTTAACGCCTTGACCGAAATAACTTTGAACCTGACAATATGTGTGCATAGATATATAGATATTTCATTTGCTTCAAGCGATAATAATATAAAGCGAAAATAATGTGGAATATTTTGTGCTTTTCTTGGCCCATACACATACATAAACATAATTTGGCCAAAAGATACATCAAAATTCTTGGCAACTGGCGAATCTACATCTATACATGCCGCTATATCCCAGTGCTATTGTGTGTAAATATTTGCCCATAACATATATACATATGTATATATATCTGATTTTTTTTTTTTTTTTTTGGGAATGCAAAAAGATTTTTTTTGCTTTTGTTGTCTTTTGTTATTATTAGAGACGGGCCATGTTAATTTCTGGCTTCAGCCGAAAATTATATATGTATTTGTATACTTATTTATTTAGGTGAAAATTCCTAGGAAAATCGCGACGCGTCGCACAGAAATCGCACAAAAATTAAAGCGAAAATCGCACACCAGGGAATACAAATATTTTTTTTTCTTAAACGCACAAAATAAATCTGGGCAACGCTCCCAATTGGCCAATTCTGATGAACTTTTAAATACTGCAGCAATTAGAAAGATATTTTCTGTCCAAAGGAATTAACATCGAATACATATATAATCGAATGATTTGGTGTGTGTTAGGAATACCCCTAATATACGAATCGATAGTATTGCTTGCGGTAACTACAGTTAATAAACTGAAGATGTACACCAGATATCTAAGATCTCTTTATCTTGATTCAGTTTAAACATGACTCACATTTCTTATCTAACTGTGCGCATACTTTTGTCTGCAGCTGTATACGATTTATAAATAGCTTTTGGCTTTATGACAACCAATTAGAGCTTAAAGCCGGATTACATACATACATATGTATGTAATGTGTGTGTGTGTGTGTGTGTGTGAATTGGTAATCCCAGAGCATGGACATTCAAGAACCAATGGGGGGGGGTCAGTTGCGCATTGTTTGATTGCCTTTGCGTGTTGACTAATTTATTTATGAATATATTTTTTGTATTTTGTTACTCGTATTTATATTTTAATTTTTATATTGCCATTTAGTCCCGTGTCGTCGGCATTTGGCGTTGGCGTCTGCTGTAAAATTTATTTGGACCGTTTTGTTATTTTAATTAGTTCTACGTAAGCTATTCAAATATTTATTTATTTATATTAGTTTTTGTCTTTTCTTTTTTTTTGCCTTTATTTGGTTCGAACTCGTGCTTGCCGACTGGTTCGTGTCTCTGCTATGCTCTGTTATTTATAGCATTGTCAAATGCGGCACGATCGTTTTATGGTAGCTGGCGGCTGCTGCTAAAAGTCGCGTCCAAAAGAAGCAGCAAAGCGTGGGCGTGAACATGGCCGCCGAAAGTGTTGAGCGGTCCATGAATAAATTGTATTTACATATTTATCGTTTTGGACAGCCCACATATGGTTTTGGGGGCGGGTGCGGTTGCGGGGGCGTTACAGCAATTCGCCATATATGAGCAGATTATGGCCTGGTATTTAGTGCGCAGCATGACTAATTAGCCAAAGGCCACGTGGCCGGGCGAAAGTTGGCTAATAATGAGAAATGCCAGACTCAATGCCTGCAGCATAAAATTCCAACTGTCAATGTGGCTGGTCATAACAAATTTGCCGCGTCCCGCCGTTAGCAACAGTTTTTTTTTATGGCCCAAAAAAAACCGGCAACTCCTGCCACTACGGTTCTTGGCTCGGGTTTGGCGGCGCGGCTTAGCCACAGGAATGCCTGGCTAATCGTATGGATCGAGCGCTCGATCATAATTTACAATCGCACAAACAGTAGCTGGCAGTAGAATCGTAAAATTTTAAATTAATGACCCGTCAGATCATATTTAAGCATTTTTATGACTTGTGTCCAGTTGCTGCCAACGCTGCCCCAACGTGAGGCTGCACTTTCAGCCGGGCAAAATAATCGATAAGCCAGAGAGCAAACCGTTCATAAATGATTATTTGCCAAGCAGTGTTGGTAAATTGTATGAAAAGATTTTCATAAGTGAGAAATGCAAGCTCTCTTTTGCTCCATTTCGTTATGTGCGCACTTTATCAGCAATGCTTTTGGAGCTTTTGACAGCTGTGACGTCAATGCTTAATATCCAGGCCGATCGCATGCACACACACGCAAAGCTTAAGGCGCGCACGCATGAGGGCGACAGGGAGAGAGACAGAGAGAGAGAGAGAGAGAGCGAAAGATACAAGAGTACTGGACATTTTGTCTTGGAGCACAACTCGCCCACTCAGCTGTCATTAAACCGTTTGTGTGCGTGTGTGTGTGTAATAGCAGAAGGTCAATTGCATTTCGTTGGCAGTTCATTAATTTCATTTCAAGCTCTCTGTATCTATTTTTAGCACAAACAAACACACACACACAGATACGCACACCCACACCATTTCTATTTGCTTTGCCCCTGAGCTGCGACTAACATTTTCTTTTGGTCAGCCTAATTGCTAACTCCTGTTGCGGCCAAGAAGTCGCCCACACGCAGCAGCTGTGACAAATGTCTTGGCCAACATTGATGTATTATTACTGTATTTTAAAGCTTTGGCACAGGTGAACAACAACACGCGGCGATGTCGGCTCGTGCCATGTTTCCACATGGCGCCCACGCAGCAGCCAAAGCTAAATTGTTGTATTTTGTTTTATTGTTGTTATTCTTTTTCATTGCTTGTCGCATGCGACATGCGTTTTATCTAGTTGTTCATTTTTTATTCGTTGTCTTCTTCTTCTTCTTCTTGTTGGTTTCTACGCATCATTTGTAACAAACTGATATATTGCAAGAGAGAGGGAGAGAGACGGAGGGAGAGAGAGAGAGAGAGGCAGATGGAGTGAGTAAGTGCGTGAGTGTTCGTTCGGCTCTTCTTCTTGCTACTTAACACATTCCCGTTCTTTGTCCAATCTTTTTCTTTATTGTGTTTTTTCTATAATATTGCATAGTTAGCTGCGTTAAGTGCGTGACATATTTACAGTTTTCTCAGGGTTTTATGGTTTTCATTATGAATCATCAAGGGAATTTTATTCTCATTATTGCCAGCTAATCAGTGCTCTTGGTCAAGGAAATTCTCAAGTGTGTTAAAATTGAAAGAAGTTCCCCTTCTACCTTCTGTATTGGCACTAACAATATCTGATTAGCGTGTTTCTTATCAATAGTCAAAGTTAATAGCTTCTTGTCATCACGTTTTAATTTTTAATATAAGCTATTTTTACTTTCGACAATCTCTGCAGACCTGCACTTGTATTTTTAGCCTATTTTGATATTATACTTCGGTGTGAAAACTTATTTTCATTTTCAACAATTTGTAATTCGCTCGAATATATGTTCTTACATAATCTAAAATACATATAAATTACTGTATTTATATCTTAATCTTTGTAAGTTTTACCTTTATCAAACAAATACTTTTAATTGATTTCGATTTATTTTCAGTTGTTCATTTCGCTTACCTGATTATTTCTATGATTATTTTGTACTTCGAATCGGGTTAGATCCTGTTTAATGCTCTCGAGCGCTTCCGCTGTGTATTTATCATTGGGGCGACCGCCCCTTTTTTCGCCCGCTGGATGCATTATGCTGCTGCTTCTTCTCTTTGTGATATTTAGCACTCATATCACAAAATGCTGCACACACACACACGCGCACGACACGAACAGACACACGAGCACTCCACTCCGCTCCGCTCACACTCACACTCGCACTCTCACACACACACGCACACACGCACTTAGCAAGACGCAGATGCGCTCACTAAACAGCAGCAGCAGCAGCAGCAGCAGCAGCAGCGATTTAATTTAAATAAATACTTTATGCTTATTTCTGTGTGCGTGTGTGTGTGTGAGAGAGAAGCTTTTTCTTCTTCTGCTTCTTGTAGCTGCTGTTGTCGTTTTTGCTTTTGCTGCTGTTGTTGTTGTTGTTGTTGTTTTTGCTGTTGTTGTTGTGGTTTTGTAGTATGCTTTTGCTTTGATTTCAGGCACTTTTTTGCTTTTGTATTTGAAACGTGTGTTGACTTTTCTTTTATGATGAACTACTTACTAGCCCCGGCTTAAGGTAAGTATGCGTCTATTAAGCTTTATTAGGTTTTATTGTCGTTGTTTTTGTTGTTGTTTTGTTATGTTTTTATTTACCACTCGCTAAATTCTTCACTAAGGCACAAATCATTTGCATTACAATAAACACATATTTTGCTGCACAAATTCATTTTGCATGTAAATATATTCACAGATATCTGTGTAGGCTGTTAAGTCTTCATGTTGTATCACATTTTGCGCTGCTGCCCCTTTTATTCACTTCATTTTATATTTTATCACAAATTCTGGCACTCATCATCATCATCAGCAATACAATTAATATTTTAGGCGGGCACTGGAAGTCACTCGATGAATGAATTTGAATACGAAAGATACGTATTCAATATGTAAGTATGCATGTATGTATGTATGTTTGACAGACGTTGATTTTGATTTGATTTAGCCGAGGTAGAGCACAACACTCGGCTTGACGGAATTTTAATTAATAATATACACGATCGATGTCGCCAACTTGCTGAAAATAGACAGAAAACAGACACGATATAAAATAACTTAAGCTGTCGAGGAGAACCAGCGCAAGGGTGTTTCGAGCTAGCTAGATACCCTGTACGAAATCATTCAGTAAACACAAGCATACAATTGAAACATATTTAGTTTTCGACTCTATATATGTATACCCTATATATATATTTGATTAAGAACAACCTACATGCCAAATTAAACGATTCCGCTAAACAGAGTTTTAACAGTACTTTTACATACAGTACTTTCTACATATTTAATTCCATGCACACTACCGCTTACAGTCTCTGATCTGGAGTAGGCCTTACATACATACAGAGATCACAAATATATATATATATATCACATGTATTTTCTCGACTGTGCATTTGCTTTTTCTTGAATGTTACATAAAGTTTCCAAAAGGGATCATACTCTTGATGACAACATTTGCGTTACAGGGTATTCCAAAAATTGTCACACGCTATGCAGATGCGACGCGTTTTAAAGGCAACTAAGCAGCTCCATCACTCATGCACACACACACACACACACACACACACACACGCGCAGCACTCATTTACATGCCGAAGACGTGAGTCAGAAGAGAGACACGCAGCCATCCACAAAATGCTGTTGTTGAAAATTCTGTTACAGTTTTTTTTTTTTTTTTTTTTTTTTTTGTTGAATTGGCAGCACTCGTCATATTGGTATGATTTGCACGCTTTGCAAAGGTGACTCTCAACTGGAAATTTGGAAAGTCTGGCGGCGCATGATCATAATTTATGCATCGAGTAGCGCATTATGTCATAACAATATTCCGGGAAGCGTATAAATTCCCTCAAACTCATTTTTATGACGAACCATTAAATTCACACATTACCAAATTGACGAATTAGTGATGGGCTTGGGGCAGGGTTGAGGGCAAGGGAGGTATTGGCGTGCGCACCTGACTATGAAATCGAGCCATCTACAGGTACACACACACACACACACACACACACACACACAGCTGTACAAATATGTAAACAAACAAACGAAATAGTCGAAAATATTTCACCAAACTGTGCCAAGTGCAAATGAGTAAACCGAAAAGCAATTGCAGCTCTGTTTTATGTATGCAAAATATTAACAATGTATTTTAACATAGATACATTCATATTAAGTACATAAAATCTGAAGAAAAAACGACTCCAATAAGCAGCTTGAGTTACATAAAGACATGCACAACAACATTTAGGCAAAGCTCCCTTGTAAGGATAAGAGCGTAATGTAACAGTGCGCTACATTTTTACTCTTACTATGTTAACGTAACATAGTTTACAGCTGTTTACATTTAATGTTTAGGCCTTGGAATGTTGACGAACATGCAGCTTATTGCATGGAAAGTGAAAACTGTAAGTGGATTATTATCAAGACTGTTGCAACTCTGATTAATTTATAATATTTAAGTAAAACTTTAATGCAAAATAAAGCTGTCAAAACCTGAGAAATTATAAGGACTGGTTTATTGTCGTGTCAACTTTAATGTTAATGTCATAGCTGTTAATATAGCATAGAACTGTAATAACAGCGCTCAGCTGTTAAACCTGCAAGATACCTAATACTAATTGAAGTCTACCTTGTTTTCTTTTGATTAATTTATATTTAAGTTAAGCTTTAATCTTAATGTAGAAACGTTAAAAGCTTGTAACTAATCGTTTCCCCTACAAGCTTATCTCTTTTTAATTATCTGCGACTAAGAAAAATGATAATGAATTTATTGTAAATCAGATTCATTTATAATACCGATAGAGGAGCTTCGTATACAAGTATTTGTTGCTGCTTTGGGCTAATCTGAGCTGCTGGAATGTAAGACTGTGTACAATTCGTACATGTATGTATGTTTTTATATAGGTATATCATCGTAAATGTCTGTTCGTAAATTTAGCTTGTGTACATATTTTGCACTGACAAAAGAGTTTAATTATTTTGTTGACAAAAGTTAACTTTTGCGCCTTGTTTTGTTGACGCTACGCATTTTGCTATAGTGCTGTGGAATGCTGAATTTAGAGACTTCGGATGTAGACGAGTATATGTACATACTTAGATAAGCGAGACTGAAGGTGCTTGGGATAATAAACAAACACGCGCCAAATCCAAATGTCAACAGTTGCCCCCCCCTCTCCCCTCTCCCCATCCCTCGCACCGGCGCAATTGTTGCACACCCAAGAGTTTATTTATTTCTTTTTGACAATTTGGGAAATTTTCACATTCCATACATTCCGAGAGAAAAAGATATAAATATATTCAATAACTAATTAACAATACAAATAAGCCAAGGCAGAATACAGACACACACACACACACATACACACTCAAGCACGCATATACAATTGTGCACATGTGTGTGTGTGTGAGAGAGTGAGAGAGAGAGAGAGGGGGACTTTTTGATGCGTTATTAAGCGGCTCGTTGAATGCGACGCTATTGGAATTTTTAATTGTTTAATTGCGGCCAAACTTTTGCTCGCTTGACTTGAAAGGCAATATACCGAATTTTCGACATTTTTATGAGCTATTATGAGCATTAGACAATCATAGGTAATACGAAAATCACATCAGACAATTGCCTGAAGCACAGACAATTCGTTGTGAAAAGAGAGCAGAAGATACATAGCTCTGTCAGGTAGTTTGACAGAAATGTTAACAGCGCTGCTGTTGATTACATGGCCTCTGTTAGGCTGTATGTTAATTTCGCATGTAAGAGCCTATTTTTAGTTAGTTTCTCTATTACACTCAAACGATACTAAAAATCATCGTAAAAATGCGTGAGCTTGTGCGACTGTCCGCTTGTGTGTGTGTGTGTGTGTGTGTGAGTGTTCGGATGGGTGTGTGTGGGGGAGTCGCGTGCGCCAGTAAAAAGCATAAGAAATTGGCCATCAAAATGCAAAGCAAGTGCAAAAGCAAATAAAATACATAACAGAAATGCCACTCGCAGGCCAAAGAGAATAGCGCAAACAGAGAGGAGTCCGAGTGCGAGAGCAAGCTCTCTCTCTACACACACACACACATGCAGAGGTGATCTCGCTCGCTCGTTCGCCTCACTGGGCAGAAGATAAAAATAGTATTAGTTGCTGATTATTATTGCAAAAATGCGCATTCCTCGGCGACTTATCCCCACAAGGCGGCTGCTGCTGCTCCACTCTACGCGCGCTCCGTGTTTTCGTTTCGTTTTCCCTTTTTTCATGCACACACACACACACACACACTCGCACATATGTATGTACGTGTGCAGTTGCAGCAGGCATGTTTCAAAATGTGTGGAAAAAGAGAAGAAAAGAAGAAGAAAAAAAATTGAAGCAAGAAGCAAGAAAAACGAGCTAAATTGCATTTTCGTCGTCGCCGACGTCGTCGTCGACGTTGTCGCTCGCCGATTGCAACTTGCAGCAGCCAGCGACGACGACGTCGCAAACAGTGGCGTGCTTCTAGGAGGGGGGGGACAGCCCTCCCTCTCTTCCTCTCTAACACTGAACGCGCTGCCTGCCATCAATGGCCAAACGCCCACCCAGCGCCGCGCGCTGCCCCCTTCACCCTAACACAACACAAACTAGCCGCAGCAGCAGCAGCAGCAGCAGACTGGCCCCGGCTTGACTTGGCCTGGCCAGGCCTGGTCACTTTTTATCGTTCATTTACTTTTAAAAAGCAGCAGCAGAAACAACAACAACAACAACAACAACAGATCACTGTATTTATTGCCCTGCTCATGCCTGGACTCTGTGTATGTGTGTGTGCGCGCGTGTGTTTTTGGAATGCACACGATCACATAGACAACGCCTCACCTGTTTAGTCGCTGCCTGCAGGCGGAGCAGCCCACAAAAGCAGCAGCAACACACACAAGCACACACACACACACGTACACACACACACACATTAATCCACTACGAATTGCATGCTGGAATGTGAATGGAATCTCAACAATTTTCAGCGTCGCTGACGTTGACGCCGCCGACGTCGCCGTCGTCCGTTTGGCGCAACTTTTTGCACGTCAAGCCGAAAAAAACAAAAATTAAATAAAAATAAATCACGTAAAAAGCAACAACAGACAATTGCAACATTTACATTTCAAATGCACACATGCAAATACATACGCCTATGTATGTCACACTGTTAACAGAGCCCAAACATAAATAAGCTGCTTGAGAAATTATTGTCGCACTGACATTGAGGCGAATTTCTCGACAGCAGCGGCAGCGGCAGCGGCAGAGGCAGCGCAGCAGCTGCGTCGTCGCTGATGCCTCTAATTACGAGCGCACCCGCAGTTGTTACTCTTCTTCTTCTTCTTCTTCTTCTTCTTGCTGTTGTCTTGCAGTTACTTGTGCCACATTTTGCATCTCTCATATTTACATTTACATTGCAAATACGTTGTGTTTTTCTCAATCGTAGGGGTATTCCTTTAAGTCGCACAATTTATTTTGCCAAGCATAATCGCATACGGTAACACTTGAAATGCATCTCAAATAAATATAAATCGTTCAATTTGGAATTATAAATATATTTTTAGATTGAAATTCTATTTTTATAGTTTTTAAATCTCTCAATAGAAATAGGAAACTTTAATAAGTTTCTTTTATAAAGGTACATTTCAGAAATATTAAAAATTGCCCAATTTAAACCAAATCGTTCCAGTTTACGAATCACAATCACGTTATTTATTTTAAGCGTTATGTGCAACATTTACTGCCTACTTTTGATAATTTTTATTTGCGCTAAAAGATAAGAGTGCAACAATTTCTGTTGACATTGTTGTATTCAAATTGTTTTTCTTTATTTAACTTAGATCACATTTCAGGTTCCCTGTATAAACAGATTCACCTGCCGTATAATTGCGCTACTAAACGATACACTCAGGTATACATATATTGGATGACAGCAAACTGATTGTTTTCCCAGCTTGTTCTACTGTTTATGTTGTCACTTGTTTATGAAGAAACCCAACATATCGAATGAACAGTTGTTTAATAGCTCCTTATTTCCCATTGTTGTGAAGGCAATTGTCTATATTGGTTCATTTAAGCTAGCAGAAGTATCAAAACACTTCCTAAAAATACGAGAGCTTAGCTAAATATTACGATTCGTTTCACCTGTAGTTGTTATCGATAATACTTTGATACATGTGTAAAATATTTTAAAATGAAATTTATACAACTTTTTAAAAAATGTCTGGTTTCATTAGTTATCGATAACATTGTGTGAGAAACACGTAACGTCTGCTCGTGATATCGATAACATTGTAGGCACAGAAAACTTGAAGGGACTATCCCTAATATTCCAGGCAGCTGCCATGATAAGAAGCTGTTGTTTTTGCTATTATTATTATTCTTCCTCTTGCAACCAATTGTTTGCGTTTGATTTTTTTTTTACATTTACTAACTGCGGCTATTGCTAGTTATTGCACTTGTTTTACGCCCACCAAATGATGAGTTTTGACACCTGAATTATTACGGCAATTAGCCGCAGATGGCGTTGGCATTTGAGAATGAGTACGGGACAGCGGGGAGCGGTGCATAATTATGCACACATGCAAACACACACACACACACACGCACACAAAACAAATGCAACAGAATGAAAAAGGGCTGGAGCAAGGGCGTGCAGCTAGAGCGGAGCAGTTGCAGCTGAAGAATTTAATCCGATTTGTAGTAAAGTAACGAGCGCGCAGATGTTGCGAGCAACGACATCGCAGAGCGTAGGGGAGGGGAGGGCCTTAGAGTTAGGAAAAGCAACACACGCACACCACCACATACACACAACTACACTCGCACACACACACACACACACACACACTGGCACTCACGAACTGCGCGTAGTGAGAAGAAAAATATGTAAATAGATGAACCGTTGCATGCATTTGGCATTTTATTTTGGATTTTCCACAAAGCTACAAAATGCACTCACACACTTGCGTTTTCTTTGTAGATTTTCTTCAATATATATATATATGCATATATATATATATATATTTTTTTTTTTTTTAGAAAGAGAAACAGAGCCAACCAGCACAATTGGAAATACATACATACACGAGACACATATACACACACACGCACGCACGAACTGAGAAGTACTGAATTTTCGATCGAAAAGCACACGTCTCGCGCACTATTTTCACATCGTGTCGTTGCGTTTTTCTTGAAATTTACCTTCACGCGCTGCGTTTTTGCACTTTTCACAAATTTTCCTCCACCTCCACGCGCTGCGTTGTTTTAATTAATAATAATAGATGGACGATAGATTGTGGTGGTTGAGCGATAGACTGTGCGCAGTATGTGGTGGTTACACGATAGCATGAATTACAGGCTTGCAGAGCGTTTAGTTATCGAAAACAATATTTAAAGTTGGCAGCGCTGAATCCTTGTAGACAACTAAAAGCTAACTATTTCAAAACGCATGTAATGTTGGCGGGCAGAAAATATTTAAAAATGATTGCTAAATATGTATAAGTAATTGGGAAATATAATGCGTTCCATATAAGTGTTTAACTTCAACATATAAGTTCCATATGTATAATATATTGGTATTTTGATTACAATTTTCATAAATCTTAAGAAATGAAAATTTTGCTCTATCCATCGTTAAGTCCTGGTCACACAGTTTGAGCAATAATCCTTTTAAAACGTATATTTGTATTTTGAACGGGAACATATTTGAAATGCAAATAGTGCACACATTTATATCTTAATATATATATTTTTATTGATGATCGGTACTTAAATACCAGTCATACTTTGTTTGTTGCAGCATTGGTACTATTATTCAATTTTTAGTATTTTTTTTTATTAAAATGAGTATTTTGTAGCTGCATTAAAACGGTCATACTGGTCACACTGCACGCAGTTCTCTGCGCGCACTTTAGTCGAGCGGCTGATGGTGCGGTAAACTGAGTTCCTTTCGCGGTCAATTGGCATTGTTTTCGTGTATTGTCGCTAGCTCAATGCTTGTTTTAACAAACAAAAAGTGTTGGCCAGTTTGAATTGCATGCAAACGGATTGAGCTATTTATTTATTTGTGAAAATCGGTAATCTTAAGTGTTTGGCCAGCGTTGGCATCTACATATCTGCATATGCGTATGCGTGTGTGCGTGTGCTTTTAGGTGTGAGATGGCGAAAATCAATAACAAAGCAAAGTAAATAAAACGCAGGCGAAAAGTGCATACGAAAGTGGCTGCGGCAATGCAAACAAGAAGAAGAAGAAGAAGAATAGCGGCTATAGTGTAAACGTTCTGTTGACTGAGACAGCGAGCAGCTTTAGGCCAGGCCCAGGCCCAGGAGTTGTAGTTGTAGTTGTTCTTTTTGTTGCAACAACAAATAAATACATATACACATACATACATATGTGCATACATACAAGTGGCGACGTGACGTGAATTTGTTAAGTGCGCCGTTATAAACGTTTTTTGTTGTTGCTGCTGCTGCTGCGTTTGCCTTTGCATTTTGTGCGCGACTCTTGAAAACTCTGCCGCCGCTGCTTTTGTTTTATGCTATATATTTTGTTGTTATGTATATATATTTTAATTAATTCCCATTCTGGTTCTTCAGCTGCGAATAGGGTCAAAATAAAACACGCAAAAAGCGTTTTAATTCCGAGTATTTCTTAAAAAAAAAAAACCAAAAAAAAAAAAAAAAACAATTTATAAGCGTGTCTGTCTGTGCGACTCGTGCATGTGTGTGTGTGTGTGTAAGCAGAACAACGCGCGTGATTCATACCTTTATACACCGGGGGCGGCACAGGAAAAGTCGTCGACGACAGCGCGTGTTGTTGTTGGCCAGAAAGACACGGACACGCAGCCGTCCATTGAACTGCTGCCGCTGACGACGACGGCGACGGCGACGACCACTGCTGCCGCTGCTGCTGCTGCTGCTGCTGCGACGCGACTGCGACGCAATTGCTTCCTGGCAAAACGACAACAACGGCAACAACATGGACAAAAGTGAGTATGCTGAACACAAAGAAGAAGCAGAACAGCGAACACGAAATAACAAAACTATGAAATTCGTGCCTTGCTGCACTTTTGTTGTTGTTGTCGCTGCTGCTGCTGCTTCTTCTTCTTCTTCTTCTTCTGCTGCTGCTGCTGGCTACGTTTTTAGGGTGGGTCCATCTTTGCCGTTTATCTATGCCTTTTGCGCTCTGCGTTTTGCGCTCACATTCGCATTGTTGGGTGTGTCTCAGGGTGGGCGTTCTAGAGTTGTATTTGTTGCAGTTGTTGTTGCACAAGGACATTAAGACAACAAGTTTGTGCTTGTTGTTGGTGTTGTTGCTGTTGCTGCAACTAAATATTGCGGTACTTAAAGCTAATGTTAATGTACGCAAGGCAAAGCTTAAGATTTTCGCAAGTCAAATAAGCAAAATAAAAAGTTCTGAGACCGGTTTTACAGTTTTTTTTTTGTTTTTTTTTTTTTTTTAACAAATAGGAATTTGTTGACGATGATTTCATGCGGCAAAGAGTTAAGAGCGTTATTTTTTGTGCTTTTGTTTTGGCTGCGAATCGTGCGGGATTTGCTGGGAAACATAATGTGAATAGTTAAGACAAAAGATTTACATTTGTAGAACAGTAATGGAAATAGAAGCAGGTAAAAAAGTGTGTTGCATAATTGCCAAAGTCATGTAGAGTTGGTAAGTTTCACAAAAATACACATTTGAGAGCGTTAAGCCAGAAATTATGCGTAAAGCTAAGAAAAAACGAACAGAACATTTCCCATGAAGGTCCGGAAATGTGGGTAAATCTTACGAAAATGTTGCATAAAGTGAGTATCGCAGAGTTTGGCCGGTTTTATAAGACATGAATACACAAATATCTTATATTAGAATATAATATAATAGATCCACTTATCGAGATTTATTAGATCGTGATATTTTATATTTGAATGTGTAGGAAAAAAGTGCGAATTGAAGAACAAGTTTGAGTTTGTCGAAAGAGAAAATAAACTTACCAAAAAGCTTTTCATTTTATTTCTTTAAAATTAGATCTTACTTATCTCATATTTGAGAAAACATTTTAACAAAAAACAAACAAAAGTATGAGGCATATTTCTGCTTATAAACTCTGATACTTTCAAAGTTGCCAGCATTCTTTTTCGACCCGCATTTGCTAGCCTACGATAAGGAAGAAAACAGGAAGAGTCGCAGCTAACGGTTATTGACTATAACTATCTATAAGCATGTACAGTCAGTCTATGGCACTGCACTGATAAGGCGAGACTAAATGCCGTCGAGCGTGCAATACTAATAAATCATGGGTTTGCTTTCTTTGTCAACCTCAAGATTGCTCGAGTGTTTGTTGTTGTTGCTGATGTAGCTGATAATGTAACAGATTGGTTGCATACATACATATATTCATTTCAGCACCGCTTCTCACTCCCCTGCCGCCTGTTCAAGTGTATCTTTAATCTGCTCCGCTGATGATTTCTTTTGATGAGCAATTCGAGGCACACAATGGAGCTCGTCGTCGAATGGTTTTGTCTGGGCCGCATTTGCATTCTGAACAAAAGACGCCGCAGCTTTCTTCCGTTTGTTGTTGCTTTTTAAGTGATTCCATTTGAAAACTAAAAGTGAAAAATCTTTCAAATACAAAAGCGAAACAGCAGCAGGCCATAAATGCGCTGATGATGACCAACAGGAAATGCCCGAACACACACAATAGTTGTTGCTTCGTTTATTTATTTTTTTTTGGGTAACTTAATGCGCATGGAAATTGAAAAAATTTGAAAAAGGTATATTATATAGCAGATATATTCTTGATCTCCAGTAAAAGTCGAGCTCATCTCACCTCAGAGACTTTAAGAACTAGAGGCACACAATTGATCATGTAAACTAAACTATAATATGCTTCTTACAAAGCTTAAATCAAATGATCGATAACTGCAAGCCATTTCTCCGAATTCGATAAATATCGATTTTCGATTTCTGGTGGATAAAAGCTAGAGGTCAGATAAATATCTTCTTCTTACAAGGTACAAATTAAACTATATATAATTCCAACAGCAATATGGAGGTGGCTAATTGGGGCATATAAATTGTCAGCTACCTTTCAGAAAGTTTAAATTAAGCTATCGATAACTCCTAACAATTTCGATTAATATCGATATCTGTAAATGGTTCAAATTAGGTTATCGATAACCTCGCAATTTTACGAATTCAATTAAAATCGATTTTTTTTTTCGGGATCATATTACGGCGTTTATAATAACAAAAGACTGCACAGTTTTTGTCTAGCTTATTGTTTAGCTTAAAAAGATCACATTTATTTTATTCCTTACAAATTTCGAAGATTTTAAGAGCTATAGTATATATAGTACAAACAGATCAACAATAATTCAGTTTAATTTTATAAATCTGAAAAGTTATTCACGAACGAATATTACTTCGTGTGGCATAGAGAAGTAAAGAAAGAGAAAATCTGAACATATATGCTTAACTGTTTGGCTACAAGTACAGGGTAACTGCCAGTCGAGCTGGCTCGACTGTAGCGCATTTGTTTCTCTTCTTTGAGGTAATCATTTCGTGCAATCTTTATTTTAATACGAGTCGCTTATCAGCTGGGCCAATTGGCATTTGATAAATTGCTTGTGGCAAGCCCTGCGCCTTGTGGGCGTGGCAAGTGCTTTTCTCTTCATTTCCCTCAGCTCTGCGTGGGTCGTTAGCCATTGCCAATGGCTTAAGCCATGGCCAAGCCCAAGAGCCGACTTCCTTTCATTTGCCTACGACTTCTTGACTGTCTCCGCCAAGAGTATTCACATTCACATTCACATTCGCAGTCGCAGTCGCAGTCGCAGTCGAGCGAATGATTCATCAGATCCACACTGGGTTTTGTCACGCCAAGTGCGAAAACTGCGCATTGCTTCAAAATTATGCGAATTTATTAGCCCAGGCCCGGGCCCAAATGAACAATCAGCCGCATGCAAATAACTGTGAATGCATTCAATTTGCACCCGGCTTTGGACATTTGAGTCAGCTCATGAATCTTTGAATTACTCACCGTGGAACTAGCTGAAATGTGCCGGCATTCAGTTTGCTCTGCGCTCGGTTATCTTATCGCCAGTTTTGGCTACTCGACTTATCAGAGCGTACAGTTTTTTTCTTCTGCTTCTTTCTCTCTCGTTTTTTTTTGCTTGAACATATTTATATGGAAACATATCGAGTTTGGATGCCTTAAATACAAAACTTTTGTTGCTCAAGTTTCGACTGACACTGAGAAAAAAAAAACGAGTGAAATTCTTCTCGCCTTTTGAGAGTGAGTGATCGACTGGGAGATACCCTAAGCTCAGCGCCAAGCTGTCTTTGCAAATATTGTATTTTTCTTCTATACAGAAATACACACACACATGTATACACACAAGCGCACGTTAGAAGTAGGAGTGGGGTGGGAGTGGGCTTCGTCTTTTCATTGCATTACACTTTATTTGGTTAACTTCGGTGTTTATTGTTCGATCTTTATGCAATTTTAAGCGCTTGAATATGGCATACAAAAGTGTGTACATATCAAGGCGGAAGGCTCTTCGAAGGAACGTTGACCTTATCAAGAATATGTATACTTTATGGGCTCGGAGAAGCTTCCTTTTGTCTTTGTTTTCTCAGTCGCATATCGTAGAGAATTACATTATTCAATAACATTTGTCTTTATTATGCGAACGTCATAAAATGTTAATTGATTAAATATGACACCACAAGGCTTGTAAAAGTTTGGAATTTCAAATTTTGTTTATTTACGTTTTGTATAGAAAATCTAGATAAAAGAGAAGCTAAATAGAAAAAGAGAGAGCCGACATTCCAAGTCTGTTCCTGATTAAAAGTACCTTATGCCTCCTGCTGCCTGTAACATAGATGTGCATAAAACCAATATGCCCGCTTCAGCTCAATTTCAATGTGCAAAGGGTATACAAAATGAAAAACTATGCCAAGTTTAGTAAATATTTGCGCTGCTTAGGCAAACATACATCATGTAAGCATATATGTGTGCATGTGTGTGTATATATACATATATACATATATATATATATGCATGCATATATATAAATGCTGCCTGCTTGATTGGGCCTCAGTTTCTCGGCCGCACGTTTTATGCTCTTTATCAGCCGATTGGGTTTAGGCGTCATTAACTCTGGCCGCAAACAGCAAGAAATGCGGGCAAGCGTCTGCCAAGCCATATAAATACAAAACACACACACACACTCACACACACACTCACACACACATCGGCATATCATTGAACTGATAAGCGGCAACTGAACTCAAGGCCTCGTCTTCGTCTTCGTCGCGTCCACAAGCCCCCCTTCAATGGCGCTCGACTGTCGCAATTGCAACTCAATAAGTGAAAAGTTACTGTTCTTTATACAATTTCAATTCCCAGAATTTTCCAGTGTTTTTCAAACAAATTCATTTGGCTAGAGTTGAGTCGAGCGGCATTTGGGTTACTCAATTATTGACAGATGGATGGAAGCACTCGAGTGCTCCACTTTTCTCATTATATATGTATCTGGCAATAGAGAACGAATAGAGAATTTGAAAAAGATAAAAAATATTCTCTACCCTGCCTCTCTTTAAGAGTCACACATTTGAGATCATTTCAATAGGTGGACAAAGTTTTGCAATTATAAATTGCATAAAATAAATAATATAACTTGTTTATTATTAAAAAAGTTTGCTGAAAAATGGCAAATTGGCAAACAAACAGAAAGTAGTTCATGATAAAATAAATGTGTGCATATTTACGATAAGCTTATTAAGCATTTAGCATATTGATTAGTTTTCCCACTTAACAAAATTAAATGGAATATGCTTTATTTGGATAATTAAACTTGGCAATTAGGAAAAGCTTACTGCCGGCTAGAATAAGCACAGGTAAAATAGTAAAATAGTTTTTATTTCTATTCGCCTTTGACTTAGAAGAGAGGGAAATTTTCTCTTGTGTATAAACCTTTTTTTGCATTGAAC